ATCGCAAATATCAGCTTTATAGATGACTTTCAAGTCATCGGTATAGAGGTAGGCTTTGCCTGTGCTAAAGCACTTGCATATATCTTTGATGTAGATTATAAAGAGCGATGGGCCCTACACTACCCTGCACAACACCATTGGTTATTGGTCGGGGTGTAGGTGTTAGAGTTATTCTTTGTTATTTGGTATCTGTTCATAAGAAAAGACTTGATCCATTGCAAAAAGGGATTTATAATTCCAACTGACTTAAGCTTATTGATTAGGAGATTATGAGGTACTTTATCAAAAGCTTTCTTAATATCGAAATAAAGTATAATCACTAGTTTCTTCTTGTCACGTATGTGAATTTGGAGAACTCAGTTGATGTACAACAACGTCATGATGAATTTAATTCAAAAATGCTTCAGAGTCAAGAAAGAACGTAAAAGATTTCTTTTCAGAACTTAATAAGTCGGCTCATTTAAGACGAATGAAAGAACTGTTTGGACGGCTTCCTGCAAGCACAAAAAGGCTTCCAAAGGCTCTAAAGAGGCCAAAGGGTTTTCATCCAATCAGAGCCTGATAGTAGTTTCTAAAATATTAACGTGGTACGCTAAGATTGGACGGTAGCATAACTTGTCTCGTTGCGGATCAGCAGAATTGTATTGATACATTAACCTGTAGTGGCATTAGGCCCTAACCATACAAACCTCAAGGCTGAAGACGAGACAACTGGGAAAGTAGATACTCAACAGTTAACGCGTAGAAAAACCCAAAGATGAAGAAGTCGGGAAGATCAAATTGAATTAATTCGAATTGATTGGATGGCATGGCTCGGTCTTATGTAAAATTATTTTTATCCATATTAAATATACTTTTCTCTCTCTAATATAAGTGTGTTCCTCATATATTGATGATTTTTACAACTCAGTGAATCAGGGTGGACAATAATATGTCTCCCACATAAGATTTTATAGATTAGACAGTTACATCATAACAAATATACAGTTTTAGAATTAGGTCTATTATTGGAGCAGTACTAATATCAAAGTAGACCATATTTCCACAAACCAACACTAATAACTTTAGATAAACATTTTTTCGTACATTTTCGACCTTCGCCTAACAATCTCTTCTTCCGCTTTCTTCTGTCTTCTGATTTGCGACTGTAAGTGGTTCTATACGTTACAGTGCCATTAGTTGTATATTGTGTTCTACATTAACCAAGCAGATAACGTGACGGGAACTTATCTAGGACGAGCTGAGATTTTTTTATCTCAGCAAGAAAAATAATATATTTATTTTTTCTAATGAAATAAAAGTGTTTTATTTGTTCTCGCCTTCTATCGAAGGGAGTAATATTTCGGTGACCATCCAGGAAGACATAAACGGGTTATACGAATAGACTGTCATAAAATCTGCCACTAAGCGGTAATAAAAGTAGCTTTATGTATCGGGACCTAAATCTCCTTTTAACACAACTATATACTGGAACTCTTCAACACTGTTCATGCCTTCGGCTTAAGGTATATCACTAGTTTGAACTTTACTGGGCACATTGCATTTCAAGTTCAATTACACCAAATGTAGATCGGCACTATTATATGAAAAGTATATCATATTTATCACCAAATACAGCACGCTAGTTCACAGTAATCGTAGGCATAATGATTTGACGAATTGAAACCAGTGAAAGAAAATGCACCAAAGCTGGTTTGAGATATTCTGACAATATTAATTATAATCAAAGTTGTTACAAACCCAAGTTAGAAACTCTCTGGACCAGTGGAGTCAAATCAAACGTTATCTTTATCTACTGACATACAAATGTCATTTCTTACTCTTCAAGGTTCATCCCTTTAGTTCTTCATCATGTCATCCTACAATCTGCACGACGCGAATAATACTCAGTCAATCCAGAAAACCTACGCTCCTAACGCTAACTTGACATGGATCAAGATCGGAAAATAACTTCATAAGGGCAGATTCGCCATATTTTCAATATTCCAGCCATCGTTTTCTTCTGCCAAAAAGCATCAGAGACTTTCAAGTATCTGTAGGGTAGTGGTCCCTAACCACACGATCTTCGTAGCTGGATGTGTAATTGCTGAGAACACTTACAACTTGCATCTTTATTGGATCATGGTTTACAAATCACTGAAAGCCAACCTTATTCCAATCAGTCATATTATCTCCGTATACAACTGAATATACGTTTCCCACTTATTGTCATGGTGTTCTTATATATTCGTCTTCAGACAATTTTTCTTAGAACACACTCGTGTGTTGGTGTTGGTACATTTTCCGTTTAGGGTAATCTTCATGTTGTTTACAACATTTCTGTATCAAAATTATTTCCAAAATCGATGTTCGTCAAGTAATTATAAATCAGATAGATTCCTCCTTTTGAATAATGTGAAGGGATCATAAATATCATGAACAAACGTGGTGTACATGAAACATGTAATAGTGAATTTATGATCCAAAGAGATTGAATAAGTGGGTCTTCCAACTTTCTTACGCCTGTGCATAGGCTGCACGGCAGCATTTTCTATCTAATTATGTTTTTGTACCCAGTAAACTTAGGAAATCACGCCCAGAGAGGATGGTGATTACATATATTGTTAACGTTATAAAAAAGACTACGAAACTGCTTTGGTTTCAATGGTGTTGATAAACCACTTCCAGCGTTCATCTTCAATTACTAATGTTATCGTTAACTAATTTCTTGTTCTTTTAAGCTTTTGAAGTCTTTCATCAACTCTTTGTAACTGCCTGTAATAACTGAGCATCTCCTATGGCCCAAACACTAGTCCCAAGGACTCGGTAGTGTGCTACCTGCGCCCAAAAATTTCGGTTTACGAGAGTTGTTTGCTGACCCCATAAACCCTACTGCCCTGAGACAAACATACTTTGATTACAAGATATACAAACTAGCCGGAATATTCAACATTTACTAAGACGAAAGATGAGATGTTGGAACGTTGCCATCAGCCCTGCAACACAAAGTACTATGGAACACTACAGATCAGTAGGAAATAAGTGTATAATTAAAATCCAGGAAGCTGAGACAAAACATGAAACGCAGCTGGCACAATATGCAATCATGCAGCCAATAAGACCATTCTCGTACATAACTTACAGAAAAAGGATGCAGCATCAGATTCCCAACTTAATTAGGAAGGGAGTGCATCTGAAATGATAGATGATGATCAGGAGGAAGTAGAGGCAATGTCAAACCATTTCGTTACAGTTTTCACTCGGCAGCATCTTCTAAAAAAAGAACTAGGCCCAAATGTAAAGTCAACAAACCGTCTGCTCACCGTGATTTGATCAAGACGATGTACTTAAGGCTTTTACATTTTTGACACGGAAAATTCAACAAGACCGGATTAACTACACCCCGAAATCCTGAGACAAATTGCACAATATATTGCAGCTCCACTAGTTGTGCTACTCAAAATGTCACATGACCAAAGTGTGTTACTTTCGGAATAGAAGGGTGCAATCGTCACTCCATTACGTAAAACAGTATTAAGACAACTTGTATCGAACTATAAACTTGTCAGCTTAACCAGCGTCGTAGTTAAAATACTGGGAGCAATATTCAAAAAGACCATAATTACATTTGTGGAAACAAACAAATTGTTACACAGAGAACAACGTGGTTTCAGAAAATGTTTTTCTTGCACAACAAACCTCCTTATAGCAAGGTTCTATACAATCGAAAATCAGTAGTTGTTGTCTACATGGACTTCAGCAAGGCATTTGACAACGTGCTGGCAAATAGACTGCTATTGAAGCTGGAGAATCTAGAAATCGCTGGACGTCTCCCAAGCTTAAGGATCTCCTGGTAAGTCGTAGACAGAAAGTAACAGAAAATTCTAAGTGCTTCACCTGGAGACTAGTACTTAGTGGAGTACCTCAAGGTTCTGTCCTAGGTCCTTTACTTTTTATATTGTATAAAGATGATATCCCAAGTATAGTTGAGTCCCAAGTATTATTACATACTGGCGAGAAATAACGGGAGACGCAGACGCATGTGCACTTCAGGCAGACTATTGTGATTAATTTATCTAGAGAGTGGCTGATGCCTATCAACGCGGCAAAGTGTGTTTACATGCACATTAGGGATGCAGTGATAAATACATACAGCGTAGGGGAGGTGCCAGTACCTGTGGTCCGGTCTCACAAGGATCTTGGCGTGAAAGTGAAGCATTATCTTAAGACTACTGTCCTCTGCTGGGAGATTACAGCAAAGAGATTTAGAACCCTACTGACTGTAAGATGGACATTATCAAGTTAGATACTTCCATTTTCACTGCAGTATACACAATCCTATACTATACTAAGTTACAAAACTGCATTCAGGCTGCAAGCTTTTGCTTGAAAGGTGACTTGGATATCCTGAAAAAGTAAAGAGGGCAGCTATTCGTGCAGTTCCATAACTACGGGGTTTACCATACAAAAAGTGGCTTGGAAAGCTAGAACTCTTTACCCTGTCCTATCGCAGATTAAGAGGTGATCTGATTTTGATATACAGGATAATAGGAAATGATTTTGAACCCAATATATCCTCTCTTTTTCCTACCACTAGATCGGGACATCTCAGAGGACATAGCAGGCGAGCAGAAAAGCCATCAACGAACAAAATACTCATGGAATACAGGTTTTCACACCGAGTCATCAATCCTTGGAACCTGTTACGCGAAGCAGTGGTGTCAGCATCTTCAATTGACTCATTCAAGAGAAGACTGGACACTCATAGAAGCATACTAGAAAGGGTAGAACATAGGCCGTAGGCCTTGTGTCCATGCTACACAAATCTGAATAAGTAACTGCCAAACCAACTAAAACTAATGAAGTCGAGTTGTTAGACTAAAGCTCATTAAACCGTCCATAAAGGACCAAGAGCTGCACTGGAAAAAAAGGAAGTGAGTTCAAAGAATTCAAACCTAATTCTCAAGGACATCACAATGATATTGGATATCGTATATTAGGGGTTACTGCCACCTTTAAAGATGAAGGTCGTTCGGTATCTCAAGTTATGTCGTACTTTTCACTCCAGTGGACTTTGTCCTCAGTGGCGCTTGAAACTACTTGAAAAGACAGTCGTTCACTGCCATGTTTTGACAGTACCAGTAAACCACTTTTTTTCAACCTGTAAAAAAGATGTAATCTGTGATATGATAATTGCTACGATCTACAGAATCAAATTAAGATATTCACGATTCCCAATTTAATTACAGCTTCACGAATCACACTTACTCCGTTTATTGTTAAATCTATTCTTTGTTGTGATTTAAGTATGGCTTTAGGTCTTACTATCGTTGCCGGGGTCACAGATACGGTGAGATTTTGTTTGGATTTTTTATATGGAGTGTGTGAAGTTAGATGGGCTTATAGCCCGAAATGTGTCAAACCAGGCCTCAAATGTTGGAAGCTTTTTGGACCCTCTTGCTGACAAACTTCTTGTGACTTCTTTGGTTTTGTCATTGACGGTGATGGATTTTTTCCCAGGTAACAAAACGTTTATCAGCTGAGATTCCACTAGTCAGTCTTGCTTGTCTTTTTATTTTCCGTGATTTGGGAATAGTTATCACAGTTTTGTTTTTAATGTTCCGGAATTTCGGTTCAGTAGGTTCTCATATTCTATAAACTTTCTTCAGATTACTACTAAGATATTTACCGAGAAAGTTGAAATGAAGGCATCAAATATCAGCAAGGTATGTTTACTTCTCACAGTTAGTTCAGTGGTGTGAAATTTTCTTAAATTTGCTTGGTTATATCTGCAGCTTAACTCAATATTCTGTTTGACCTTCTACTGTCCCGTACAATTAATTACACACCCTTGAATATTAGTTTGATGTAGTTATCTCCATGAAGGTATGAATCAGTGCCTCTATGGTAATTTTGTTCTCAGTTGCTTTTTGGTCAGAGCTGCAATGATAGCAAGTTTAAGTTTCGTTTACTTAGCTTAAAATTATGCGAAAACTTCAAATCTCTCTAATCGTTTCGTAGTTTTAAAATCCTTTCCGCTCACTTTGTTAATCAATCTCCAGTTTCGTGGGTACGAATGGTCCTGACTCGTGTATTTTGTAAAATTCTAGCTTCAGTAAAGACCTGGAGTTTATCCTGAATTTAGGAACAATATACTGGATTAATCTGTTTACTTTCAAACTTGGTCGTTAATGTATTGACCAAATCCCTGCCATTCTCTGAGTTTTTGAACATAAACACCAATGTCCGTTAAACTTGATTAAGATAATGCATTTTCACTTGTTCTTAAACAGAGCGGTATAACTCATCCGGTTTTGCTCTTCAACAATTTTAGTGTTGTATAACTTTTCAGTTTATTAGCAAGCGGTGGCCGTGCACAATTTAATTCACTGGATCTTAGTTGGATGAAAAAACTGATTTTTCTACTTTAATTTTGACTAAGACACCATGTTTTGACCTTTTGTTAAAGTCAGATTTCTAATCACCCTTCTGCACAAATGTTTGTTTTGTACAGCTATCCTTTAAGGTCTGTTTACGTCTTATGGTTAGTCAGTCAGTCTGCTACAACGTAGGACCAGGCACATATATGCATCGTTACAAGTTGCCACACCTCATTAACACAACAAGGTGAACACCGAAATCATAGTAGTTACTTCATTGGTAGTAAAAAAAAGACACCGTATAAGGATATAATACAGGAAGAAAGAATTAGTTCGTAGAAAGGAAGGTATAAAGTAATTTTAATCTCATAGGATGACAAAGGGTGTATACACCCAGCCACTGGTTCTCCGTTGAATAATGAAATTCTTTCTTGAGTAAAAACCTCTGTCTTGCTTAAATTTTTATCTGTTCTGGAGATTTATCAAACGATTGGTCATACATTTTTTCAGTCTTTTAATTGTCTAATTATTATTACGTCCAATAATTCTTACATTGACTTTATAGCTGAATACTCTTTGTCAATTATCAAGCATCATACTTAGCATGACATATCCTTTATATGGACTCCCTAACTACGAATACCTAAAGGTTGTATGGTGAGTTAAAATGTTTGCAAAATTTAAATATTTCCATTTTATGATTTATGAAGGCCTATTTAATTTGATAATCAGTAAGTCATCCATAAGTAGTGTAAAACCTGACACATATGTTCACCACAAACCGACGCCTGTAAAATTTAAAAGTGAGAGAGTACTAAACAATTACCTTTTCTGGTTCAATACTCCTTAGCGTTGTGTACTCACGGTCTCATAATACCACGTTCATGGTCTCGTAAAAATAACATCACTTGACTATTATGTTCGAATCCGGTGATCTACATAGCAATGCGTTTTAACAGTCATCAAATGTCATAGATGAGCATTACCTTATTCTGTACTCGATTAGATCCACAGATCACGACCTACAATTAGGACTTCTGGGAAAGCAGGTTACCATTTAGCACTGAAATTTAATCAAATTTCATAAATACAAGTTTGAAGATAAAATTCCCTGGTGAGGTTGTAGTTGTGTACTACGGAGGAGTCTTATACAAGGACTAGACACCTGTCTAGTATTCCCTAACTTTCAGTCATATCCCAACTGAAATTAACCCATAACTAATACACTCTACATGTCAAACCAATCTCCATAAAACTCATTCAATTCAATTAAACCGCTGAAAATATACCACATTAGTTAGCATAGACAATCTATTATATTACTCATTTTATGTATAATACCGTCATTGTTTTTTTTCAAAATTTACAAATCATTTTTCTCACTAGGCTTCTTTCAGCTGGAACTACAATTGCATCTGGTTTAGGATACTTAAAAAGTTTACCAGAATGGTGGAAACGAATGGCTGAAATCTCCAGAAATAGATAGATAATTTATTTTGTACACGGTTTTTTAGTGAACAATTTATATCCTTCAACGAAATGGTTGTCTCATTATCAACAGTTTACATATATATCTATAACATGTTATGAAAAATAACCGTTTGATTGAATGAAATCCAAAGAAATAAACTATTATAAAGAAAATAAGTGAAAATATTCCACGTACATATATATATAATTTAACTTCAAAACAATTGTCATCTATTAACTAATGATAATTAACTCTATTATATTTTGATGCATAAATGTAAGATAGTTGCGAGTAAACATATTATTAACGAATAAATCTTAATATAAACCTGAAGAATGATCTCATGTTATTTAAAAGTCAAATCGTCATCTCTGTTCTCTTTCAGTTCAGTGGTCCAAAGTGAATACACACTTACTATAAGACCTAAAAGTCCTGAGTTCTATTTCTGAGTCATAGGTATGCACTGTTAAGCAATCCTTATACTAGTGCGAAACAGCTGTCCAATGTTCTTTAGGTTTTACTGCGAATCAGTTAATTTAGTGATTACTTCGGATAAAACAAGTATATACATGAAGTTGAATTAACAGGCCAACAAAAAACGTGAAGTGTATCAAATTTACAGATAAGTAAATTGTGGCAAGAGTCTGTAGCTGTCTCATTAGGTGACAAATAATAATCACTAGTTTATTCTTTTTAACAACAAATGAGTGGAAGTAACTATTCTGTTTAGAAAAAAAAACATATCAACGTCACAGAAACTTTATTTTTAAAGTATGCGGGGCATCCAACGTATCTTCTTTCAAAATAATGACCTCATTTTTGCTAAATGCGTTTTCACTATCCACATTAAGTCAAACTGACTAAAGGTAGTGAAGATTCAAGTACAGTTGATTGGCTATTCTATTATCTATTGTTAGCAACATCTATTGCGCACTTCAACGGGTATTTATTAGCGAAAGCGAAACGGAGATTTTATGCAATGGGACCAAACTGTAGTTACTAGAATAATGCTAGGGTGACGGTTGTCTTTGCTGCGTAGGTTTGGCATTGTGGAAGAGAGGAGTTTGTTGAACTATTGCTATCATTTGATTTGGTGATATACTACTGTGAAAATCTAATCTAAGATTCTTTCAAGGATGCCTGGTGAAAAACAGTCACAAGCTTATATTTCTTTGCATTCATCTTTGTGAGGACCTATGGGTTCGTAAATGACGTTGGAATTAAGTCAACTGGATTATTATAGAATAGGTATTATAAACCGTAGTACAATCAGAAAAATGTAGATTTTATAAAAGAAAGTCCTTTGGCCTCCGTTATTCCGTCTGAAATAATCTAATTCAGACTGTGATTGAACAATTACTTTTCGAAGAGGAAGAATAGATTGTTGTTCATATTATCTTCAAAGTATGAATTTGTAATCTTAACAACTGGTATCTTCCGTTGTAATTTGTTGAATGGAAGCTATTACGACTAAGTATTTAATCTAAGTAATTAATCTTTCCAATCATATATTCTAGTGAGTAAATCAGAGAAATTTAACTAATTTTGTTACACTTCTATCTTACTATTTCACAATAGCTCATTGTTGAGCCATATCTCTACAGTTTATTCAGTTCACATTTGCTTATCCTATTCAGCATACAGCATTTTCAGCAGCTTATTTGGTTTTGATACATTCGGCTAATCAGGAATCGTCCAAATGGTAAGTTCATATGATTGACCAAGAAATAGCTTTCATTTGTACGAATTAGATCATACACCATTGGTGGCCTTAGTCTCTCTTCTTGAGTAATTGTTTACTGGACTCGTCAATGATAAGACCACTCATCAGTATCAACTATCAAATGCTACACATCACGACAGGTTGCCTTCATTTTTATGTCGGGCATAAAAAATATCGGAAGAACAAAGTTCTCATGTCCAGAATATTAATAATGGGCTTATATGGTTCACTGTTAATTAGACATCAGACATTTCTCATCCTACGGATTAAAAACTCTCCTTATCACATTATGATCACAACTTTTTAAGTGACTATCTTTAAGCAAACAAAAAAAAGATGACCTTTGAAGAAATATCGACGACATTTTTCAGGAAAACTTTATGCAAATATAGGCGAAAATACATCAAGTTTCCGTCTTTTTCACCAACGTGGGGAGTTGGTATATCAACTTTCACTTAAGTGAATATTAAATAGTCTAATTTTCCCTCAGGTTAGGACCGATCAATATTCTTTCCCCCCAAATTTCGCCAGTGGGGAAAAACACTTACCTAAAATTCACATCGTCCTTTCGTTTATTTCCTTTTTTTATTAACTTGGGTTCTGGTGTTTTGCATTACAAAAAGTTCACTATTGGTTCTAATCGAATCTGTTGAGAATACCTGTGAACAAGAGGTTACCGTCAGTCTTTTTACGTATAGCCTACTGAAAGTGTAGTTAGTTATGGATTTGTCTAATGCGTATAGTACAAGATTAATTTCTGACAGGAGGATGGTTGGTAATTTGTTATAACGAATTATGTAGTGATAAATGAGTTTGGTTTTAGTTGTAAGGCAGTTGCTACTCACCACTAAACTAGGTGAATTTTGCATGTTTTATAGTGGCTAGGAATATAAGTCATCAAATAGATGATTGAAGACAGTATAGACCAATAGTTTACAACTGCAAACGGTTTTTATGAGTTTAAATATCTAAGACAGTAGACGTTATTTATTTCTTTCAAAATTTATACTACAGTTAATTTATTCCAAATGAACTGTAATGAAAACTTTCCGATAAATGAGTCGAGAAAATCTGAGTTGTTTCAAGTTGGTTTTGATCCGACGTGTACATCAATTGAGGAGTCATCCTAAGTTGAGACATACCGAATAAACTTTAATTCAACTGTTTCGTATACTAATAGGTAACTGACGGTTATAGTATATTATGCTACGTTATCACTGAACTGAAGTTAACATAAGGGAAGTATTCAACTTCAGTACTTACTACAAGTCCGTAAAGTAACTGGTTCATTCCCAACAGCTGGGATGAATGTTGAAGAATAAAACTAAATAGGTATACACAGTTTTCCTACTTTACAATGATTGTCTAATATACACTAACTTGTTCTTGTGAAGAATTATGTGATTACTTTGCTATATGTCTACATGTTCGAAATATTTCATTTTTGTAAATAACTCATTTATTATTCTATTTCCCTGACAAACAACTTTATCAGTTTGTTTAGACAGAACAGAAAAAGCCAGCCAACGTAGTTTCTACAATTCTCCGTTCTTTTCTTTTTGTTACAACTTTAAGCAGTCCCCCAGTTTTAAGAGTGTATATTCCCGTTTAGCCTCAAATAGTTTTCATTATTGAAACGCTTATATTCAGTACAGTAACTCTAGTTTCTATTATTATATCTATTTACTTATCAGTTTACTCTGTCCCTTCCAGTATGAAGCATATTCATCCACAAATAACACTACTAACAACTATGATAACTAAACTAAATGGGAGGTATTTCACAATTATTGCTTATCAATCATTGCTGACAGTCGTAAGGGTGAAATTCATGATATTCTGTTGAAAGTAACGGACCTTGAAATTGCATAGGATTCTTTGAATTATTGTCAAAGAAATATTTGTGAGAACTAATTTACTGCAGTATTTTTGGATATCGCTTAACAAGTCTACACAGACTAACTATTGTTTTATTCAATGTCATCGTCGTTAAACAAGTTGACATCTGGAACTATTATCACACAATTGTCTGCTAAAATCATATCGTTAACGCCTAAATTCGCTTGTGAACATTTCCGTTCAAACGTAACCAAGAATACAATCCTAATATTAGCCAAATGGCATCTAATGAGAAAATAGTTTTCTATACCTTTTAATAAATGAACTACGAAATTATAACAAACATCTCAATAGAAGTGCTACACTGAGATAGTTTATTAGCATGAAGTACCTGTGGAATTATACAGTTTCAAGATAGTTAACATCATTTTATCTAAACAACTGTTGAAAACTAGGAAATACTAAAGACTACTGTATGATCCTTTTGTATTGGATTCCTTAAATATGCCTACCCACTACCCTTCTTACTAGGAATCAAAATGACGAATTTTGTTATGATTGCGTAGCTTTCAAGATATTAGTTTGCTACTGAAAATTCACATTTCCAACTCCATTACAGCAACATTTTTTCAAAGCAGAGGTGTGTTATATGCGAATGAGATTAAATTGTGGGTAACTTCTGGGGACTATTCGTGAACTGTCATTATATATATATATATATATATTCTATTGTATAGCTATTAAGTAACTGCATTGTATATATTTATATTACTCTTGCTATAAGCTTTCATTTGACGTGTTAGCTACCATTAAACGATTTGCTATTTTTATGTTATTCCCAATCTACTAGTTACAGTCTATCACACTCGCAGTCACTTTTGAATTGATCTTTTATAATTGTTATTTTCTATTTTATGGTATTATGCGGTCTGATTTGCTTGTATATAAACTGCGTATGTCTGAAATATACGATTCACATAACGGAGGTTGATATATGTCGTCTGAACTGAACCGGCTAGGTTAGGCGAGAAGCTACTACACAGAGGACCAATAAAAACCCGTAATTGACTCAAGGCTGGTTATGCTGATTAACGCGTCATTGGTTTATCATGGGGACAGTGTCACAGAAATCGGTGTTCTAATTGGCAATTTTGTCATAGGACATAACAAGATGAATGGTAGTTAGCAATGAAATTCATGACGCTTGTTTCTTCTTATTTGAGAAAAGTCAAGTGAATGTGTCTAGATCCCGGAGTTGAAGTTCACTCCGGGACCAGATCCAGTACCCTTCGCTTCTAACGCTACCGTGTTATCCACTGAGTCAACGTAGTGACTGGTTTGTGCAATGGGATGGATTTTAATTCACATGTACTGGTTAGTTAAATCTCCCCATTCATGTTTAGGGTTGAAAAAATGGCAATACAGAGGCAATCTGTACAAAATCCGCACACAA